GGAAGTGTCTTCTGGGAGGGACAAGTTTGAGGACAGGACGCCACTAAGGCAGGAGAGAGTGGGCATGCAGGGCCAGGTGGCATGCTGCTCGTGCAGTTGGGAGAGCCAGGTGGTCACATGAAAGCGCAGAGGGAAGCCATTTGCAGGCATGCAGGAGGATGCCAGCTGTCGGGGTGCACCACGCTGGTGGCTCTGGGCTGGAGACAGTACCTTCTGGAGGACTACGGTGGGCAGATGCTTGTTTCCAGGCAAACCCTCCCTGCTGCATATTCATGAGGCTGCAGCTCTGGACTGAAGTGCCCCCTGCCTGGGGAGGCTGCTGCTCCCCAAGCCGCAAAGCGCTCATCTCTGGCTGTAGTGCTGTGGGGAGAGTCTACCAGGGCTGTGCTATTCTAATTCCAGGCCGCTACTTCCATCCAAGTACCCCTTAACTATTGACCTGTCGATCGCCTGTAATCCCATCCAACCTTGTTTAAAGAATGACACCACAGAACTAATTGAGGAGAATCATATTAAATTAATATTAATTTAATCTAAATAGTATGAAAAGGTTATATTTGCAAAGGCTAGATGTATATATCCTTTATATTATAAATTTTAAACATTGTAACTTCTCAAAAAATGGTGGGGTTATTATCACTAGAGTTCTATTTACATAAATACATAGATTTTAAAAAATAAAAGTACTTTTTAAGCAGGAGCAGAGGGTAAAATATGACACCTGATTTGTCACTTCCAATTCTGATAGACACTCTTGAATATTAGAAAATGTAAAGTCAATAAAAAGATGTTAGTTAAGAGAAAAAAACATGTGTATGCTGAATTCACTTCTCTATCTTATTTCATTTTGGAGGTGTTCTTTCTGTAACTAACCCATTTTCCCCTCTCCTCTCCTAGTGACCTGTCCCCAAGCAGCATGGCAATCTCACCAGAATCAGTGATACAAAAATGGAGTCAAGAGTACAAGTCAACAATCTTGATTTTAGCATGTTCTTGGAGAGGGTAATAAAATATCAGCACAAATTTCTCTCCAAAATGACAACTGCCAGACCACTCAAGAGTGGGGCCAAATCCTACTCCGCCATTCCCCATTTTCCATCCTGAGGCATCCCTTCCTTTGGGAGCCATAGCTGCTTGGGCTGTGTCTCAGGGAGAAAGGCACCTGGCTGGCCCTTAAATTCAGTATCACTTTCTGCCAGACCATAAAAGTGCATGTAAACAAATATTAAATTTGCATTTTTACAGATGAGGAAACTAAGGCCTAGAGATAGAAAGAGTTGTGATGGTTCCTCATCTGAACTGGTCCTTGAACTCAGGTTTCCTGACCTGTGAGGGAGGAGGAGCTGTTTCCATGGAAAATATCTAAAGCCCCTGTATTAATATATCAAGCTGCACTCTAAGCACTAAGAGCTGCTTGAAGGTTTTCATGTAGCCTGAGTTTCTGAAAATCAAGATTTTTTACTACCTCTGAAGAGCTTGCTATTAAAGGAGCCTGTTAGTGAGATATTTTTATGAAGAGCTCTAATGTGAGGCCAATACCAACATGTGCTTCTTTCTATTAGGGACTGTTCTTAACCAGAAAGGAAGCCACATCGAGGCTGAGCTGGACCTCAGAGAGGGAATTCAGCTTCTTGGGGTGGGGCAGGTATTTGCCGTAAGCTGAAGGCTCAGCTTATTCAAATTCACTGGACCACCATGAACATCAGCATCTCCCCAAATGCAATCCAAGGAACACTAATTTCACAGGGTCAAAAATAAAAATGACAAAATTAGCTTGGGAGCACTAGGTCAAAGTCAAGAGTCTTGAATGTTTTAAATTGCCGGACTTCCCTGAGTGAGTCTTTAATGTGAACTGTGAGTCCCTAGGCAGGAGATGAACTATTTCCCTAAAATACTTGCCTGGAGAGAATCAGGGGGTCTACAAAACATCCTTTGGAAAATGTGACCACTCACTAATGACTTAAAAGCACTTGCCCCTACTGCTGGGTTATTGCTCAGTGTCCTCACTTTTGGCCAATGTGGTTTTAAGTTTTATGATGTCTATTTTTAGGAAAAGTAATGATTAGACATCACTTTTCTGTGCAGCATCATGGATGCACTGGGAATGATGTCAAGATTCAATGGTTCTCTCCACCTTTAATTTATAAGCAACCATCTTGGGGGTCAGGGGGTTGCAGGCTCTGATCAGTTCAGAGGCACTTTTCCTGCCACCCTTCCTCTGTAGTCCTCAGACCAACACTGCCTCCACAGCGCTTAACCCCAGGCTGCAGCTGAGTGCCCTGGAAGCTCAGGGGAGCGAGTACCAGGTAGCAGAGTGGGCAAGCAGGCAGCAGCAAGATGTCCATGTCACCCCGCCACGCTCCCCACACTCGACAACCACAACACACATTGCATGGGGAGGGAGGTGTGATTTTGGAGGTCCTCAGAAGGGTTAATAGATTGGCAAACTACTTACTAACTGAAAAAAGGGAGGGAAAACCATGAAAGTATGCTTCTGGAGAGTTGCCTTGGAATAACAGATCAAACCAAAAATTAAAACCAAGAAACAAAACAGTTAAAAAAATCATAATTAAGGCTAAGAAAGCAAAGATCTAATAACCTTCCAACTGTAAGTCTGGCTGTCTGGAATCAGATTTCAGTTCAAGAGTGACACACATTTTTCCACTAGCAATGATTTTTTTTTTTTGAACTGAAGAAAGGCCGATTAGGCTTTCCCTTCCACATTTACACGCTCACCCAGCACATGGAAACTGACCAATTCATGTAATGTGTTTTGTTTCCAGAGCAGGAAATTCCAAAAGGAAAGGAAAAATAATGAAACAAGTGGGCTTAGGATCTTTCCATATATTAACCCCAATCCTGGGTCCAGCAGTGTGCAGGGCTGGGCTAGTTGTCATTCCTAGGAAGCCAAAGGGTAGGAGAGAGAAATTCATAAAGCCTCATCCTTGGCTATCTGCTTGGCCCAGGAAAGAGCTGAAATCCATGTTCATTATAACTGTGTCAAGAAAATCTACATTTACCAGTGCATTCACCTTTCTCTAACTAAATGTATCCATGGGGAAGAATGATCCTTGAGAACTTGGGGCTTAGCTGAAACACCTGCTACCTGGTAGGCACTCCCCAAGGATGGAATGATGACTCATGGCTTCACCAAGAATAAACACTGAGCACTGCTCAGGACATGCTACATTCAGCAGAAAGCCCAGGAGGTGCTCATCACCCCAACAATTTACTAATTAATCTCATATGAAGTGCCCTGCTGGAAAAGCCAGTCAGTCTTCCAAGACTTGAAGGAACACAGGGCTCCTAGGATGCAATGTGATAAAAACTGGCAGAGGGTAGAGGAAGGTGGGTTTGCTGTGTAAAGTGGACAGGGCAGCAGAAACATATAACCAGTAAGATCTCATTTTAAGGTAATAAACTCAGCTGGGCGTGGTGGTATACATCTGTAATCCTAGCTACTTGGGAAGGGGAGGATCATCAGTTTGAGGCCAATTGGCATAAAGTTAGCTAGATTCCATCTCAAAAACAAAATCAAAAACAAACAAAAAAAACCCAAGAGTGCTGGGGCATGGCTCAAGTGGTACAGCACTTGCCTAGCATACATGAGGCCCTGGGTTCAATCCCCAGAACCACAAAACAAGAACAAAACAATAAACTCAGTAAAAGCCCATGTAAAAAAAGCAAAACAAAACAATTTTTCTGGAAAAACCAAAGTTGGCAATTGCCCCTCGGCATTGTATTAAGAGAAATATCTGTTTCTTAAGTGGATTAAAAGACAACCTAAGCAGTTTATAAATATCATCTTCCTCTTTCATTTCATAAAATTGGAATTGCCAAAAAGGCAAAGTTTAGAACATTAATATGCAGATGAGTAAGGTCAAGAATGTCTCTTGGTGTGACTGATACTTCACTGCTGTCCTGGCTGTCTGTGTGGATGGGGTTAGCCCAGCGGTTCAGTCGTCCTAAAGATGAGCACATTAGGGAAAGTGGTTCTTTCTGGCAGCAGTCCTCTTATGAGCTTGGGTTCGGCACATGACCGAGCATTTGGAACAAAGACAAGCCCTTATAAATCACAGATCCAGAGATTAAATTTTCTGGCGGTGCTGGCAGTAAAGTGAATATTAAATAGATGAGTGAAAGGAAGCAAAGACGGACTCTCCCAGTGAGATCCATATTTAGGTCACTTTTAAGGATTTTACAGAGCAGTTTGTTTCATTTTAATACAGGGATCTTTGTTTAAGTGACAGGTTCTAGAACTTCCTAAAGTAGACTTTTTTGAAATTTCTGTACTATTTAAAAGCAAGATTAGGCTAAAATGCTGGTCCATTTCCTTACACAGTTTTATGACACAAAGCCTACCTTTTCCTTCCTTTTCTTTCCTTGCGAATGGAGAACAGTTTATAGCATTGTTTGTCATTGTTTGTCAAAATGTGTTCCATAATTCACTGGACTGGTACATGCAGGTTTCTGGGCTTCCCTTGGGTCTATGAGGAAACTGGCAGATCCAAAAGCTCTCCATGTGAGGTGACTGCTCAGCAATGTCTGAAATTATCACTAGAATATGGCCTTCATTCTTAAATGCTGGTTGGAATAAATTAATTTCCAAATTGAAACCCACACATTTTTAGTATTAAATTATTACTTATAGGGCATTATAATTTACCTTTATTTTTAACGGGATTATTTTGTATGCACTTATGTCAACTCCAGGAAAGCACAGAAGGACCCAGAAACAACATTCTAGAAAAGTCCCATTTGTTCACCTCAAGCCTCCTGGTCTCCTTTACTTTTCGGAGAAGGTTGGAACTTGGGCACCAGTGTCTGAAATCTCACATTTCCCTCTGCCCTTAACAGTTCTGGATTTTCAAATAAGCAAGATCTTTTCTCTGGCAGGTTGATGGAGTTTCTTATCCAGCTTACAGGTCGGAAGATTATCAGAAAATAAAACATTAGGCAAATGGAAGCAGGTCTAACAAGAAAGGAAAAACCATGTTTACAGAGAGAGGGTTCCCGGCGGGGACCTGCGTCACTGACTGAATGAGCAGCAGGGGGCCACACAAAGGTATCAGGTTTGGGATGAGAATGAAGATGAGAAGATACAAACAGGTGGAGAGGAGATTCGGTTCTTGAAAGAGAAGAGGAGGAGGAGGAGGAGGAGGAATCTGACACTAAAAAAAGTGAAAGACAAAAAAAAAGGATAAAAGCAAAAAAAACCTTTAGAAACACAAAATAAAAATAAACTAGCTTTTGATATACTCACATAAGCTGCAAGGAAAATGAGGTCATATAATACACAATCATTCCTCTACTCGACAATAGAACCCAAGTACTTTTTGAAGAAAACACATTTGTTTTTCCATTGGTTATTTAATCATTCTGCAACAACGTCATGACATAAAAATAACTCCGATTTACCTGGGCACAGATTCAACAGAATGTCCACTGAAAATGACATGGCTTTAGTCTACAATATCCAGGGCATTCTGCAGGACACTACTCATTTTCCCATTGGAAAGGGTTAGACTTGACCTTCCATAGATTTGTTGTTTATGAGAGGTGCTTATATAAAGTTTATTTAAAAACCAAAGTTTTCCAAAATGCTGTGTGCTGAAGTGCACTGATGTCATGGTCCCAGCGTCCTGACAATGGAGTGCTAAGCTTTCTGAGGTGATCGAGAGTTGGGTACCTGGTCGAGCACTTTAAAAAGGAAGCTAGGACTGCTGCCTTCATGTCTGACAGCTGGTGAGATACATGGCAATGTGGAGGCCTCCACAGCTGTAATTAGAAACGTTTCTAAACAAAACACATCAAATTTTCAAGTTAAAAAAATTATTTTGCTTTGGATAGGTAGCTGGTAATATCTACTAATGAGTAAAGATAATTCCCCTTACCCCATATCCTGTTTTGAAGTAAAAGGAAGAAAAATAACTTTTTTTCATCCTCTATTTATGGAATTACAAACTTATTCCAAAGAAAAGAGAATGACTCACAGCTTCAAAGTAAAGATTGTCACTTCATTTGATTCCTCTTTTTCACTGGCTGGGATCTACTAGAGGTGGGAGGAAGGGAAGCCAGAGAGCATATCAGACGGGAATCACGTTCTGTAAGGGAGGGTTTCTTAGTTCAAGATGTCCATTTAATAAAATGTAATTCCACTATTAGCTGTCATGGACTTTGTTGGTCTGAAGCTTATAGATGTTAGTTCTTCCTGATATCATACTACTGTGTAAAGGCCTGGGATGTACAATCATTGTCTTGTGTTTCTATTTATTTAACATTCTTATCTGTTTCACATATATCCTAAAATTTTAACAGGCAAAATATGATGTCTGGGATTAATCTGAAAATATTCTATTAAAAACCAATGTGGGACAGGAGAAATAGATGAAATGAGTAATAATTGTTGAAGTTTGGTGGCAGGTAATGGGAATTTGTTATACTGGTATCTTCATTCTGGTTTATTTAACATGTTTCTGTAATATAAATTTTAAATTCAGAAATAAATAAATTGAATCCTGGGGAAAACTCAAAACCACTCCAGAAGACCTGTCATCTCACAGGGAGTCTGTCTGCACAACTGGGGTTCTAACCTTGAGACCTAGTGGCAGGATCAAGAGACTGGAAGCTCACGGAGTGTTGGCCATGCCCCTTTCTGATGGTAGCGCTGCATGGCTTTCTTTGCTCATGTCTGTGCCCTTCAGAGTGGATTTAGGAGTGTTGGCTTTTGAATTTATGCAATGTATTTCCTCTTGAAATGAAATTAAGATGAGAGGATAAACAAAATCTGGGTAGCTCCTGAGGCAGGCCATCCACATCTACCCTACTAGGAGCCAAACTAAATAAAACTGGGCTTTCTTAATGAAGATGGAGACATTGCTTCCACTTCTGGGTCAGTCTTCCTAATCTTTCAGTCTCTCTGATTTGCACTGTCACTTCAGAATGTTTTCCTTGGTTGACAAATGGTCTGCAATTGATAAGGTCCCCTAGCATGGACTTCCATTTTCCTGATTCCCTGCTCTCCTGGTTAAACTAATGGTGTTTGAACAATAGTTTGCGGCCCTGGATGCAGGGTGTGAAAGGTCTCTTAGAGGGATTCCTTTGCATAGTACAAGGCGGTCATTGGCCTGTGCCTGCGAGGCAGTGGTCTCCCCACGTTGTTCAGGAAAGACACAGGACCAGCAGCCCGGACTCCGTACACCTGGGTTTCCAGGTTGTGAGTAGGGGACTCTTCTCTCCCAAGAGCGGCTGCAGGGATGGCATAAGGTAAGCGGGAAAGAAAGAATGGCTGGAGCTTCCCTGGGGTAGTGACATTTGGCCTATACCACATAGACATAGCCTGGACAACATGGCACCTGAGAAGTATAACCTGCAGGGGGTGACACCTTGAGAGCTCCAGGGGAAACTTCCCCAAGGCTAAAGAGAGCATGACCAAGGACCTCGCTTATTTTTTGTCATTATCTGTTTTCAATATGATGTGACATTCAAGCCTTAGGACCTCTGGGGAAAAGAAGGTCCAAGTTAGCTGTAAGGAAAGGGGGTCTGGATATAATGCCCGCCCTTGCAGGATGCTGAGGAGGGACCAGAGGGACAGACAGTCATGGGCAGCTGTAGCAGCTGTTTCGACTCTGCCATTGTAAGTTTCCCTGGCTTCTCTTCTCTCCTGGTGTCCAAACTTCAGCTTGCCTTGGCTAGAGCTAATGCCTAACCTGCTTCCTACAGTGAGGGGCTTGACCAGATCCTTGTCAGGACTGCACCCACCAGCAGAACTTTGCTGTCTTGTGCCAGTCTGGCTCTGCCTCACTGGCAGTCTATGCCCACCCATGACTGCTGACCAATGTGGGGCACACATGGGGCTGGGGGGAGGTGGTTACCTTGCAGCTTGGTCAGCAGCAGTTGCAAGCCCAGTTAAAACTGCACTAAGTTTTTTTTTTTTAATTTTTATTGTTTTATTATTCATATGTGCATACAATGCTTGGGTCATTTCTCCCCCCCTGCCCTGCACTAAGTTTTAACTGTGCCACTTCTTCATGCCCAGCTGTCTTTTGACCTGGGAGCCCCAGGGCCCTTGTATGGGATAGCTCAGGCCAACTTTCACTTTGGTGGAGGGAAGCCTCGCAGGAATGCAGTCTGTGTCAGCCCAGGGGACAGGCTCAGTGAGTACTACCACACAGAGCTCCTCAAAGTCCCATTCTTCCCTTCTACTAGGGTTAGATTTTCCAGGGATGAGTCTTTGTTTTCTTTGGAAGGGCTCTGTGGGGGGGCTGGGATGTGACACAAGGACAGAAAAAGGACTTTGAGGCTCTTTTTATGAAGCTAGACCATAAAAGACCAGGCTAGACAGACAAGGATTAAGCCTTACAGAGGCCCTGAGGGTGGGGGAGAAGTAAAAGAAGTGGGTAGTAAATGATGTTCTAGAACTACATTTGAGGCTCAAGGTTGAGTCCCCCAAATTGTCACTGAGCAGTTGATATTATTGGAATTATGAAAACTAGGGAGGTGTCCTTGTTTCCCCATACTCAGGCAGCATTGGAACACAGAAACAGCCCCATGGAAGTATCAGCTCAGAGGAAGTGTGTGCTGTAGGGCCTCTAGTGCAGACAGTAAAACAGCAGCTCAGAAACCCCTGCCACCCTACAGGTCCTTCTGCTGGGTGCACATATGTGTGTATGTACAACTCATTAGGACTTGGAATGGCTGATGTCCACAAGGTCTGAAACCTACATGGAGGGACAGAACAGAGGAGAAACCAGATATGGATGGGAACCTTAACTTTAGGTTCAGATTTTAAACTCCCAGAGCAAGGGGGAAACACAGATTTCAGAGTTGTGCAGGGCAAATAATATTACAGCCCCACTGTGAACTCACATTGGAAACAGACTGGAGAAATATACCTCAATCAAGGGTCAACCTGTTTGCTGAGGACTCTTCTCACCCCGGATCTGGAGATTTCATGCACACCACTCAGCACCCGGACCCTCATTCTGCTCAGCACCATTTTGTCCCCTCTGGCCTTTCAGTCTCACCTGTCTCAGGATCGCTGAAGTCTGGTAAAGTGATTGTATTAAGCTGTCGTCTGTCGGCGATGGTTCTATCTAAGAGGCTGCTCCCACGTCCAGAGTCACTGCAAAACACACTGTGAATGTCAGTCACCTGGAAGGTGGGAAGGAGGAAGTAGAGATCCAGCCAGTGCAGATGCCAAGGTGCAGTGATGCCTCTCGTGCATCCTGGATGTTCCTCAGCATCTCTCCACGCATGAAGGAGGTACCTTGCAACCTGGCTTGGCTTGGGCTGGACTTCCTCTCAGCATTCAGAATCACAAACACAACTGAAACCATATCCACAGACCCTTGCTGATTTTACCCTCTGTGTCATTAAAAGACATGAAAACAAAAACTTCAAGCCAGGTTTTCCATCTACCAGATAGCGGGAAGCTCGTTGTCATTCTGTACCGCGAAGCCTTAGGACTCAGGGAGCTCCTCATCCCACTACCCTCCAAGATGTCTCTACCAGATAACGTGCCACACAGGCCTTCTGAACTCCATGGCTGGAGAAAATCACCCAGAGCAGTTCCAAGAAACCCTGGCACTGAGGCCCCACTCCAGACCAAGTAAGTTGGAATTTCAGGGCCAGTCACCATTTCTCAAGGCACCCCTAATGGCTGTGAGGGGCAGAGCTAGAGTTGAGGGCCCCTGGACCCTGCTTTTCAGAGAGTGACTGGTGATGAGCATGAGTGAGTTTCAGCACAAACCTTCTAGATACATCACCCGGGCAATATTCTTATCTAACAATTGAGGAGAGGGTGGTTTGAAATGACACACTGGGCTAGCCACAGCAGAGCTGTGGCACTTCTGGTGTTGCTGAGCTAAGGAGGCTGGCCAGACGGGATATGAAGGGACTTGGGGAGAACACAGCAAGTTTTGCTGCCTGCCTCCAGACCACCACTCTTTCCAGCTTCCCACCCTGGCCACCTTACTGACTCCCCATATCCAGCATGGTCTGCAAAACAGGCCTACCACTATTCAGTCAGCAATGTCACACGGAATGAAATAGTTAAGGGGCTGGTAGATTTTTTTTTTTTTAAATTCTATGAAGTTTGTAAGCAAAACTCATTGCTTTTTTGCTATCATGATAATCTTTATGGGGGCTCTAAGAGTTATTTTTGTTGTTGTTAAGAAGTTGAAATTCCACAGTAAAGAGACATAATTGCTAAAAGCAGTACAAAGAAGATTTGGTATGAAATGTTAACACCGTCTACAGGCTGCAATTTCCGTGTCCAGTGAGGCAGTGAGAGAAACCCACAGGACACAGAGGAAACTTCCCTCCACATAGACTGTCAGCCTGTCATTTATAACTTCATCCCATACAGGCTCTTTGCAAACTACTCTATTAATTATTTTCACAACTGAGAAATAGTGAATGTCTCTGTGTAGAAGATAACATAAAAGTACATGCAAATTTTCATGAGTTGCAAAACTGACCAAATGTTTTTAGCATTGACCTGCTTGTGTGGTATTTGTAATATAAATAATCACAAAGAGTTAATTACATGAATACTGCAATAGCTCCTCATCTAGGAGACTTCTCAAAATATAGTGACATTTTCAATCACCATGGGGATCCCAGGTGTTGGCACTGCAAAGGAAGAAGGTGCCTGGGTGCTAGGTGGACCACACCTGGGGTGCGTTGCAATCACATTGCTGCAGGTTTCCATATCATCAAGGTTCAAAGCATGAGCCTAGCTGCCATGAGTGATGCTTTGAAAGGACCCAGAAACTGGGGTCTTGGAACCCAGATGGTAGTCTTGGTTTTCATCCTACATCTGTCACTAAGGAGTAGTCACTCTGAATAAAGCTACTGCCTCAGTGACTTCCCTCCCAGATGAGGTAAGGGTTATCTTCCTGCACAGAACTGTGTAAGGATGGAGCAAGACTGTGTAGATGGAGCATTCTGGAGAGTTTTAACTTGTAGGCACAAGCCCAGTGTCATAATACAGTGACCTAGAAGCATCTGGGGTTATTACGACTGGCAGATTCCTGGAGACAACTTGTTCCTGGTCTTCTGGTGCAACTGCAGGTGTGGGGAAGCTGAGTTAAGGACCAACTTCCTACTCCAAATGTTAGAAATCCCAACTAAAGCCATAATCTTCACTTGTGGACCTTCCTCACTGTTAATGACACAGGATTCGTCTCCTTCCACCAGTGGAGAAACTACACTAAGTTATATTCCTCAGTTTGTCTTCCACAGTACCTTTTGAAAACTGCACAAGCGACAATTGACTTCAAAATGGAAATGCTTTTGTTTCCATGTAGAATGTTTTCTCTCTAAAAATAATTAGGTATTTGTGATTGAATGAAAAATTTGCTGAATGCTTCAAGTCATTTTCAGTTCTTCATTTACACAGTGCAGAGTCTTAACTAATCAAGACTTGTCTTTGCTAAAACCCAAAGAATGTGGGAGAAAGGGCAAGAGGAGGTCTTGGCCAAACCTGAAGCCTCAGGTCTCTCACTCTGACCAGTCTCCCTCATGCAAACTTGAAAGTCATCTTCCTTTTCCCCTCTGGGATGCTGTCTGCATTAAGTACCCTCCATGGATCACCTATCACATCTCTTCTCTGCCCGGCCCTTAGGCTGTCAGGAGCACCTCCCATTGGTGCCTGGAGACAGTTCAGGCGAGAGCAAACTGTAAGGACTCCTGAATCTATGACACTTAAATTGGAGATGTCCACATGTGTAGATGGAGACATCCAGGGAATTTCCGTTCCCCAGCAGGACTGAAAATTCAAAGCACAGTGTTAACGACAGTTAAAGTTACACTGCAAACTATACGCTTCTCTCAGAAATCTTGTTTTCCACAGCCACACAGAGGCTAAACACAAGAGGCAAGGTGGTGGTAGAGGACCAGAAGTCAGGATCTGGAGTTCTTGCCATAGTTCTGCCTATTCCCAGCTCCTGGAATGGTGCCTGGCATGCAATAAATACTGGATCCTTAAGACAAGCAGATGGGAGGGGATTCCTGCTTTTCTTCAAGGCTCCTGAGCCTGGATTACAAGAATCATGCAAGTTCCTGGATATCCCTGAGCCTCAAACTTCCTCATCAGAAAATGAGTATGATATAATATGATATTTGTGCATTTCATCTGGCTTCTTTGAAGATGAAATGAGAGTATACTTTGTAAAAAGAAAAGTTCCACTGAAATGCTTGTGACTAGTATGAAATGAGGTTTCTAACTTTCAATTGAGTTTAGAATGAAGAAAATGTGTTTGTGTGTGTTTAAAGCCTATTTGTTGATAAATCATTGAAAAATGACTTAGAAAGAAGAAAACTGCCTTCCAACCACGGAGCTGTCAACTCAGGGCTTATGACAGAGATGGTTCAAGTGGCATTAACAAGGGTGGGGAGGTGGTTAAAAATAAAAAAAAGAAACTACTGTCACCTCAAGTGAGGCAGCATGCTGTCATGGAGAAAGAGCTTTGATGTGAGACAGACCTGGGTTTGAATCAGAGTTCTACTACTTATTTCATTGGGAAAACTCGGGCATGGTATTGAGCTTGTTTTAGCTTCAATTTTATTTCCTATAAAATAGAAATCACAGTAGTTAATCTTGCAAGGCGAATGCAGGGATTGACGACAACACATAAACGGCCCAGTATAGTACTGGCAGAGATGTTTCAATGCAAATGGTTATTACTGTCCCCAACTGAAATGCTGTGAGCATATGCAGGAGCCTGCTGGGATACTGTGGGGAGACTCTGGTCAGATTCATGTCGTCCTGAGTGCACAAGAACTGGGGGAGCTGTGTGCTTTACTAAGGGAGAGAAGACAGACAGGTTTTTATTCTACACATAAGCAAGGCTGCAGACCTAGGGAAAGGGAATCCAGGCTTCTGAAACTATAAACACCTCACCAAATGCACAGTGGAAAGAATGCTTCTACCATTTTGTTCAGAGCAAGAAATGTGTTCTGTGACTGTGGGTGAAACCCTATTGGCACGTTTCCTAAGGCTCAGTTCAGCGACTAGCTCCTACTGAGATTTTCTTCAAGCAAAATTAAAAGAGAGAATGAGCTGCTCAGAACACAAAGTCAGGGTCGAGTCTCAATTTGAACGCTCACTCCCTGCTGCTGTCCATGCCTTCCTCCTGCCTCCTCTTCTGCTCTGGGGTTCTGTGCTGAGCCTCAGGATGGCCTGGAAGGGGCTGGGGAAGCCGGGGAAACCCTGCAGTTAGAGCAAGGGACCCACTACAACTGAACATGTTTGGAGAGAAGGGCGCGAGAGCCAGGAAGTCAGCATGGGCCTCCTCCGGATAGAAACCAACTGTCTCCTGCCAAAATCTTTCTGCTCAGTTTTCAGTTTATTTTATTCTTAGAAAAGGACACGTCTCATGCACTTCTTCCTGCAAATCTACCTTTCCTAAAGCCCTGTGTGACCCAAGGCAGACTCAAGGCAGGTGGGGACAAATTGCTGCATCTGGAGGTTGTTAGTGTGTAGCTTCACTTTCCCCCCACACTGGCCAGGGTCACTTCTCATCCAAGCCAACTGTAGCATGTCTAAATACGCACGATGGTGAGGGCTGCTGAGAAATATTTATTTGTATCCCGGAGAAGATAAAGTTAAAACAAACAGGAAGCTCCTTAAAGGGGATGCATGTCCTGCCACCCCCCAGCCCCACCAGGCTCTGTGGAGAGCTAGGGTCCTCCATTCTCTGTCCCTGAAAGATCCTTCAGAAAACAGAGGAAGTATGGACATAGCCCAAACATTTGGCTAAGTATTTTTAAAAGGCTTTCCAATTCTGCTATTTTGTTCTCTTCACATTCAATATTCTTGGTTGCTAAGTGGGAGGAAATGCGGGGAGGTGGGAGAGGTGTGGAGAACCAAGGAAAAATTGGCACGGCGAAAGCTGATGGGTTTATTTTCTCCTTTCTTGGTGGGGACAAGGCAGAGGATGTGCTCCAGCATGGAGGCAGCCAGCTGGGGCAGTGTCTGCTATGGCTGGGTTAGGAGGCAAAGACTCCCCCAAATCCTGGTGCTATTGATGGGCCAGGAGTGGAGGCCTTTCGGGGAGATAAAGATAAGCATTTCCCGTTTTTGCTTACAGTCTTAGATAAGTAGGTTTTTTTTTTTTAATTAAATGATCTTTATTTCAGATCAAACCCCTGAAAGGAAAGAGGCCAGACTCAGAATTACCTACCTTTCACCAAGAAAGTGGGGAGCCAGAGCAGCAGTGGTTGTGCCACAGGCAGTGGTTGTGAAGGGGACTCTGGCTAAATCTTAGAAATGTGAAGGTCCCTGAGGAGTGCTGGCTGAATAGCAGGCTGGCTCTCCAGGCCAGGCTCCCTCAGCAGCTGCTCTGCCACAGGACCTGGTCACAGGTCTACCTAATGTCAGTTCACATTCCCCTTCCCTCGAATTTGAACTCTTGTTTGTTAATTGTACACATTTTGGTAAAACACATCTTATAGGGAGCCCCATCTCCTTTCTGTAGCTACCTAACTGGCACTGCACTTTTATTCCTGCAGATCTCTGAAGACCACATCCACCAGCCTACTTGCCCACCTTCTGCCTGGCTGACCTGGGCAGGCCACACCCTGGGCACTCACTTACCATTTGAATAACACATTTTCAGACTTCTGAGTCTTAGTACTCTATGGGTTGTCCAGACACCTTGCCATGAATTTGAAAACTATTCTTAGTGTAAAAGCAGTTTTGCAGATTCATTAAATTACTTCCTTCACAGGGCAGGGGACACTTAGTAATTAAACACACATGAGGAAATGTGCCCGTGGAAATGGGCAAATGGGTTCCTGGGTGTCCCTTGGGGGTTGTCTGGCTGCTCTTTCCCATGTCAGCTGACTCTAAGGGTGGCGTCTTTGACTTCTTGATAAGTAACTATTTTACAGTTCTGAAGGGGCAAAAGTTAACCTGTAGAAAACTGATAATATGACAAATGAATTTTGTCTGTAGAGGTACAATTAATCTCCACACTGTGGAAAAGATAACCCGAAGGAATAGAGTTCATTGCCTTACAGGATACTGCTTCTGCATCTATTTGCAAATTCATTTCAGCATTTCTGCCAATAACTTTTTTCAAATTCTCCTTTGAATGGATCTTAACATTGTTCTGGTTCCCTCATTGGTTAATGAGGTAAATAAAATCTTTGATAGGTGTTTACTTTATATTTGTATGAGTCATGATTTTAACTTTTGAAAATTACATTTTTTCATGCTAATAGTGATTCCACTCTTCTTAGTAGGATGCAGCCCATTGTCCATACAGGACTTTTAAATATTACTATAAGAAATCCAACTGGAATATATCATTGACTGCTCTACACATAAATTACTAGAAAGATGATCTGTCTTGTCACAGGAGTTAAGTAAACGGCTGGTAGAGAGAAACAGGAAGATCATTTGTGAACTGAGGCTAAGAGTCACCGTGGCAGCAAAGCAAAAGCAATCCATGACTTGGAGGCTTCATTAGCCACTGGGGGAAAATTCCCTCAAAATGGTGTGAAGCTTCATTACTAACGATCTGCCACTCATGGGGACCTGGGGGTTCAGGGGTGATGGAGTTAATGCCTGCTAAATGCCCATCAGCAATGGCCCTAATAGACAGGGACTCATGCAAAACGCTACACAAAACAGGCCCCACTGGCCGCTTACCTGGGATTGGTTAGGTTGTAGCAGGATTTCCATATTTGTAACATGTGCTTACAGGTGAGCAGTGCCTCATCTGGACCCCGGCAGAGAGACTCCAACTTCACTTTGGAAAACAGTAGTCTATAGTGGGAGACAAGAAAAAAAACAACACAGCTTAAGCCAGAGGCTGCTACTTGACCAACTGAACCAGACAAAGAGGTGGACTGGGCCCAGGGGCTGGGGGTCTGTGCTCATCTTAGAATGGTGATATCTGCATGCCTTCTAGGGGAAGCAGTGACAATAAGGCCAAGGATTCCAGAACCCACAGCTCAACACATGGATTTGCATAAGTCTCACCAAGGAGGCAAATGTGAGCACAGGATGACTAATTGTGGTCATGTTAAAAGCATCGGAGTGACCAATTTTATTCAGAACACAGATTTTATTAAGAATGTGCTTTTTAGAACACAACCAATTTATCTGTGAAGCTTCAAAAATTCATTAAAAGTAAATCTAGATTTATTTACAAAATTACACAAGAGATATGACTCAGTTGATATAAATATCTACAGCTATCCTTCTGGGATGATGTTCATCCTCTCAGAGGCTTCAAAAACCTGCCTGAAGGCACACGAGGAAAAGGGGCCTCTGGTGCAGGCCTCTCCTCTTGGCCTGTCCCAGTTCTGTCATCTGGGGGCCAGACTTCAACTCCCTCCACAATCATCAAGGGATCTCTTCCCTATTTTTGTTGCCACCAGTGGCCTCAGCCTCCATCCAGACCTTCTGAGCACTAAGCGTAGAACCTTCTTTCTTAGACCCTCAGCCTCACCCGACTCCAAATTTCTCCTATCTCTCTGTAGACAGGAGACTATTGATTGCAGACCTCAGCTCTCTCCTTTCCTGGACTTGCCATGCCATCCTTCTTGGTGGCCTTCCTGTCCCTGGATTAGCCCGGCTCTCAGAAATCTTATCATACACATCTCCTACAATCATTTTCAGCTCCAGCTTGAGAAACCAACATGATTCCTTACTGCCTGTGATAGGAAGTCAAGTCCTTCTCTGGTGCTTCAAGGCTCTCATCTCACTATCCCATCCTGTGCTGTGTGTCCTGTTGAACCCATTAATCCTATCAGCCTAACTCACCGACCAAATGCTGTTCCTCTTTCAACTCAGTCACTATAGTGCCCTGTTCTCCACTGTAATCCCTGCTAGTCCACGTCCCTCTTCAGTTCTTCCCCAAAGCAGCTAACTGCCGACTCATCACATAAGCTCCCCCCCCCCCACTACCACTTTCACACCTTTATCTTGTCCACTCAGCAGGTCCCCTAGCAGCTGGAGTGTGTTGTTAATAACAATGAAGAGAGGAGAAGGAGAGGGAACATCTGCAGCTTATTGAAGGCCTCCTATGTGCCAGGCCTGCATGTGCCACTTACAGATTCTGTCAACATCATCTCTGCAATCACCTTTCTCAGTAGTGGGATTTATCACTCTCCAAAAGATAAGGTGCCACTGCCCTCTGGCCAGTTGCTTTCTGGATGTGATCTTTGAAAGTATAGGAGCCTCTCTCTGGTCTTCCCCTCGGTTCTATGGACCTTTCATCAGCATTGCTCACTGGCTGCTTTCTCTATAAACCATGAATGATCAAGAAGTGTACTTTCAATGACATAACTTAGAAACACAGGACAGTTCCTCAGCCGTGCATGATGCAACGCCCTCACCCAAGGTACCTGAGTGGAGCCGAGCCTCTCCACTGTGAGAGATGGGATGAGGTGGCCCACAACCTCACTGCCTCAGTTCAGAAATAAGAAATCAAATGCTCAGGAATGGGTCCGCTCAAGCCACTCCCTCCCAATGGAACACAAGAAGCCTGAAGGTGCTGGGAGTTCCCTGGAGGTTAGGGCTTCAGCCTTCCCAAGCCCAGATTTGCAGAACCTGGGCTGATGGGGCTACAGGCCAGGTAATGAGAAGGATGGAGTCCTTGATCAACAAGCAGATAAGGTGAAGAACAAGCCCAGACATGAGATCAGGGCTCGGCTTCTTTCTCACAGCATCTCTAGAAGCAGAAACTCCTTTGAAGCCTTACCAGGGAGGCCTCAAGGAAATGTCAGACACACAGGGGTTTAAAAAGAACCAGGAGCTGACTCCTGTTAGAGCCTACATAGTCCAGAATGTGACAGGAGGAATTTTCTACCAGAATCTCCTACCAAATTCAGTTCAACTGGGGGATGCATTATAAGGGAAGGAGAAGCTCCTAAGTGGTCACCTGTCAGCCTTTGGTGGAGATCTGTTTGGAAGCCCAGGGGCTACTTTGGATGGGGGGTGGTGGATGCCAAGCAACTGTGAGGGATCCTGAGACCCCTCTTAGGACTGTGGGGCCCAGGAGGTGAACTTCTGGGTAGGAGGAGACACCAAACTTCTGTGGCTGGGTCAGGCTCAGAGGGGGCCATGGAGGTGGTGGGAGGGCTTCCCTGCCCAGCAGGCAGCGGTGTGGCACTCACAGCAATTAGCCACAGTTCCTTTCCTGTACCCACAGTATAAAAGGCTAGAGTGCGCCTCTAAGCCTCAGCTTGGGGGAACAGTTCTGTGCGAGGCTTCTTGGCTGGAAAAAGAACTTCTAATTAACATAAAATAACAGCTTTCAAACACTTGACTCAGGATATGGAGTTGAAAGGTGTGGGCTGGATTTAAGAGAACCAGACAGGAAGAACAATAGTAGAATTGCTGCACACAAATGATGGAAAACGCACTTGGAAGTGAGACGGGGGAGCAGCATGAAGGAGCCTGGCAGAGGACAGTAGCTGGGGAGCCCAGAGAACAGGCAGCAAGAGATACCAAAGCCACCAGCCATTTTGCAGCCTGTGCCACACACCTGCCAGCCTGGCTCTGACACCCGTGAGTGCACACACAGGCAGAGCAGGAGAGATGGTGTTGCCTTTGCACCCTTTCCCCAACCTCAGCGGGTTTATCATGCAGGAAGCAGTGCTGAGCATAGAGCCAGCAATGCCTGTCATCGGATCTGCTGAACCCTGGCATCCCAAGGACACTTGAGAACATCTGGTGGGATGGGAAGTAAGTCACGTTAGCACAGAAATACAGACTACACAAACATGACTAGCATTAATTGCTGCAGTTGATACCCAAAGATATTACAGATTCAACCTACTGAGGAAACCCCGAGGCAAAAAGACAAGTGATGAGAAAGGATGGGACAAACAGCATCGATGCATTACAACATGTCTCGCTGTCGACCTGCTACAGAGAGCACAGGAGACTGCCAGGTGGGACCAGGTGTGGTCACATTACCAAGTCCAGCCACGACTCTAGTAGGAAGCTACGTGTTTGGCGAATGTTCTCTTCCCATACACTATACCTTGCTCAAAGTTCATTAATCTAATTTAAAAAATATTTTGCTTAGAGACTCATTGAAAACTTACATAAAATGAATGAAGAAATGAAGAATACTAAAACACCAATCAGACTCCATTACTGATAACCAAATCTAGCATCTTCTACAATGTCCTTTGTCATCTGGCTCTTGCCCACCCACTTAGCCACCAAGGAAATTCTTCTTTACCCATCACATGCCACCCCCACCTGAGCCAAGGCCGACCTCCCCCAGCCCCATGGGTCTTTGCACATGTTGTACCCACTGTCTGGAATCTCTTCCACCAACCCATTTCTGCCTTTTAAGCACCACTCATCTTTCAAGATTCAGGTCAAGCCACCTCCTCACTGAGGGAAGGCAGCCTTATAGAATTGAGGTGAAACTTTCCAGATGGAAATGCAATTACAGAAACGATGAAAGCTCATAACTGTGGAATAACAAGTTACAAGTCAGGAAACTTCTAGTTTCAAGACAAAGTAAAATAATAATAACTGCAGCTGCCGGATATTTAAATATTCAATCAGTGATTCTATCACAACTCTGCAAGTTAGGCAAGAGTTAAGTAACATGCCCAGGTTTACACCACCAGTGACTGGGAGAATGGATATTTAACCCTAAATCTATCTGCCTGATTCCAAAGCACTGAACAAGAAATAGAGGAAAATGACTTCAAACCTAACTGTACTGCTGACATTAGTGAAGGCACACAGCATTTTCTAATCGTTTGCCCTTTAAAACCCTGAACCGTAGAAAGCTCTGGGTCAGATGCTGTATGGAATACAACATCATATAAAGTACAGTCCCTGGCCCTCTGAGAACTTTTGGTCCATTTGAGGCCAAGGTGTGGCCAGGAACTTGAGGATTGAGCTGTTGGGGCATGGCTCCTACAACTCATAAGCGTCTCTGAAGGACAATTACATATGTGCATATGTTTGTGCCTTGCCTTTCATCCCAAAGTCTGGTGCATGTAAAATTCCAGTTATCTAGCTGTGTGCTAGTGGTTTACACCTACAATTCTAAAGCTACCTGAGAGGTTGAGATTGGGAGGATTGAGGTTTGAGGCCAGCACCAGCAAATGTTTCACGAAATCCCATCTCCAAAAATAACTAGATGAAAATGGGCTGGAGGTGTGGCTCAAGTGGTAGAATGCCTGCTGTGCAAGCATGAATCCATGCCCTGCCCTCCCCCCATTCTAGTTTTCTGAAGGATCCAGTTCATTAAAGTTTTACTCTTAAAAGAAAGTAAAAATAAATAAATAAATAAAATTACTGTACTATTAACTTAAAATTAATAAAAATGACATTTTTACTACATTTTTGGAATTTTTTAAAAAGAATCCCAAGATGATTCTTAAGTAACAATGATGGGCTTACTGGACAGCAAAAAAGGACTTAAAAACACCCAGTGAGGCTGTGAGACATGCAGCACTGTGACTTTCTATAGTTCATCACAGGAAATGAGTCAAAGTAGTGTTTCTCAGGGCCAGGTTGACCATCTAACGGTCATCCCCAGGAACACCTGCTGACCCCTTGGAGTCTACTCTACCTACTGGACACTTACATCTGTCCCTGATTGTTGTTTAGCTTCATCCTGGGCCCATCCCCAGACTGCAGACTTGGGCTGGGGCCAAAATAAAGTTAAAAGAGTGCCTATTTCTAAATTCTGAAATTTAATATGCTTGATAAAACTTTCTGATGACAACCTATCAATGAAAATAAATTAGAATGTTCAAAGTAATAATTCCTTCTGATCTTAT